TATATATATGAGTGCAGGCTTGGGTCCTGACAGAATCTAACCCTAACCTACGGATGAGAAAAGGAATTCAATGACTCTTTTCTTTCTGAGAGGGGGGTTCCCCTGTGGTGCCAGGCTGCTCTTGAACTCCTGGGGCTCAGCTTCCCAAGTGCTGCACTACAGGCACATACCCCTGGCTCAGTGGATTATTAATTCTGGAATGTCAACTTCATTGGGTTAAGAAATGCCTAGCAGATTAGTACGGCATGCTCCAGGCAGGTCCAGGTGGGTTGTGGAGGCATGATCTTGGGGATTGATATGGTCCCTCACCGGCTCCACTTGGACACTGTTCCTCTGCTCTGCTTCCCTGCTGCCATGAACTAAGCAGCTTTGCTTTACCACACATTCTGTCATGATGTATCTGCCTCGGAGCCTGTGGACCATGGAATGACTCTCCTAAAACCCTAGGCTAAATTAAACCTTTCTTCCTTTAAGTTACAGGGTGTCAGGTTCTGTGTTTCAGTGACAGGAAAGCTAACCGATATACCCAGTTACTGTTATTTTCTCACTGATGACTGCTGGGTCCCACTTTGGGTATTTCACATACATTAATCTCAATGTTCTGCCTTAAAAATGTACTAAGTGGCATGCATTTTACACACCTGTGGTGGGAAAGTTAAGTAGAAAAATCTTTTAGGAAAGCCATTTGACTCCATGGATTAAAGGCTTTGAAATATTCTTTACTTCACTATTCCACTTCTAGGAATTAGTTCCAAGGGAATAATCATAAGAATGGAGAAAACTCTGGTTACAAAAAATGGGCATCACAGCCTTGTTTGAAGAAATCTTGCAAATTTTATTCACTCAACATGTTACTATATGCCTATCATGTACTAGAGAATAAGTACAAATATATAAAATCATAATTTATTTCTATGTAAGAAAAGTATATTACAAAAAGCATGATCCCATTTTGTAGGAAAATTAAACAGGTACAATGCACAGGAAAACAGCTGAAAGATACCCATTGAATCAGTGGTCCTCAGCTTTTTTGGCAACAGGAACTGGTTTTGTGGGAGTCAATTCCATGGATGCGGAGTGGTGGTTTTGGGATGATTTAAAGGAGCCACAACCTCACTGAACCTCATTCAAGATCCCTTGAATGAGCACTGCACAGCAGGGTTTGTGCTCCTATGAGAATCTAATGCCCAGCTGATCTGACAGCAAGCGGAGTTCCGGTGGTAAGGCCAGCCGTGCTGAGCAGCTGTAGACACAGATAAAGCTTCTCTTGCCTGCCTGCTGCTCACCTCTTGTTGTGAACCCTCTTCCTAGCAGGCCACGGTACCACTAATATTGATCATCTTTTGGTCACTGGCTTATAATTTATCTTTCTATTTCTCCTTTTAAAAAATAATTGTTTTGTAGAGAGCTGTTTTGAGATTATGTAAATCTGGTGTGTATTAACTTTCCACTTACTAATTTTAGCATCCATTGATAATTTTCACCATCCTATCTATATTATGTTATAGTTGCCATTGTGCTATATTCTTTCCTGTCCTGTTTCTTTACATAGACCTGTAGATTTTTATTCAGTCAATTATGATTTTTTACTAGAGTTATGTATTTTCAGGTTCAGAATATCTTGTATTTGTCCAGTGGTTCATTCAAGCTAAATTCTGTGCCTTTCTGAAATGTTCTCATTATTTTTTGAGCATTTTCTTACATTCTGGTACAACAGAATGCTTCAGGCTTATTTTGTACTCTTTTACTTTTATTTTAAAATGTTCTATAATAACCAAGTATTACCTTTATTAAATGAAAGAACAAAATGCATTCAATTTAAAGAATAATCTCACATAAAATGTAATAATCTGTATAAGATATGCATTTTATGTAAGGTTATTTTTTAAAAAAGTACAGATTGACGATCCTACATGGTTTAGAAATACTGTATTAAGACAAATGGGGCACCTCTTGAGTTCTACTTGAGATAGGAGAAGGGAGCCCCTGCCTTACAAGGCAACGTAAAAGGCAGCTGTGCCCAAAAAGATCGTTAGATGCACAAGTCACTACTCTCTTTTGACTGAAACCAGTGATTTAGCCACATAACCTGAGATACGAGAGGAAAAAGTTTAAGTACATTCTACTCAATTAATGTCTCACAGTCCAATGTCTCCTTGTTTCCTGGCCTCTGAACACTGCCTACAAGAATGGTGAGCCATGGTCATTTTCATCTGTGACTGAATTTCTTTCCGCTGACTGTTTGGAGTTTCCCTATGAGCTGGTGTGAGGTACTTCTTCCTGTGGCTCAGAACAAGACTCTCTAGGAGGGCCTTGGGGACTGCACTCTAGATTCTGTGAGCCACTATGGAAATAAAGAAGGACCAGGCATGATCCCCAACTCCTCCCTGTCCATGAAGATGAGTCATTACTTCACTGATGAGTCATCTGGCTAGGCCACTCAATCTGCTGTGACCTAGGCTGGAAGTGCTACCTAGAATTTCAGCATTACAAGGCCTGGGCCTTTTTGACTTTGAGTTCTTTTCACATTTCTGACAAGAAGTCACCCTCTATCCTGTTCCAGAAAAATGATACGAGGTATTTTAACAATATAAACAACAACAACAGTGGCTAAGTTTTACTGAGCATGAACAATGGAAAGCACAAGGCTAAGTGTGCTTTCCGTGCACTGTTTTATTTAACAACAGATTAACATTATGTGGCAGCTATATATTAATTTCCTCATTGTACACTTCAAACTGAGGCCGAGGAGTGGTTAATAAATAATGAGTTTGATGCTCCAAAACTGGGTCTTACCCCACTTCACTACAACACAAGCTTCAGATCTGACTGTGGAACTATGAGTGAATGTGAAACTGAGACTGAAAAAAATTCCAAGCTTTCTTTTAAATGAAAAATTAATGAATGGAAACAACACTAGTTGGCTTGGCATTGAGACCAAGCAACATCTTTTAAGTTGAGTATAAGAAAGCAAAGAGATGACTTGAATGAAGCTGCGAGTCCACGAAGAAGTCAGAGCACATTTGCCACAAAGCAGTTCAGTAGTTTGTTTATTCATTCATTACATTTTGGGTCTATGATGTGTTTCTCACTGTGCTGAGTGAAGGGAACATGGAAATGGGAAGACTGACATGGGTTCTAGCCTTGTGGGGCTTGGCTTATAGTTTAGGAAGAAAAAAAATCGTAAGTGGTAAATGCTATGAAGAAAATAAGCTACTCTGGTGAAGAATATGATGGTCAGAAAAGGTTTCTCTAAGATGACATTTGTCTTAGTTACTTTCTTGTTGCTGGGACAAAATACCTGACACCCACAAGTTAAAGGAGGAAAAGTTTATTATACCTCACAGCCTACAGAGATTTCAGTCCATAGTCAGCTGCCTCCAAGGCAGGGAAGCATGGCAGAAGGGAATGGCAGAGCAGAAACAGTTCTCCGTAGGGTAGATGATAAGACAGCCACAGCAAGTAGCAGCAAGCCTCCCTTTCCCTTTTATGCCATCTAGGCTGCAGGACTTTTAGGGGGTGCCACCCAATATCTACACCAGACCTATGCTAAACCAATCAGTGGACTACTTTAGTTATCAAAAACTTAATCCACATTCTCACACCCTTGATCCGGCTGCCTCTGAAAAGTCCCAGCTAAGAGTGCATGAGGATTTGGAGGGACCATCTAGATAAAAGCTATAACATTTTAACCTGAAGGATCAAACAGAGGTGCTAAGGCTGATGAGGTCTCTTCATTTTCCCTTCATCCTTGGTAAGAGATGAAAACTTTGAATACTTGTCCTGGGTGCTTTACAACTTGTTCGGTGGTCAGCAGGTCAACCACTATTATACAATCCACGTGTTTTATCATTATTACTTTCCTTTACTCTATCCCAAACATCACAAAATGGTATACTTGAGATTTTTACTATTTAGTCTAGCACCGTCTCATTCTTTTTCTTTTTAATATAGAAAAATCATATCAGAATCAGGGATAAGAGGAAAGGTCTTTGTGTTTCACAGAGTTCATCCAAGTGTACCATTTGTTTCTTCCCTGTGGAATTGTCATATCAGCTTTAGGAAAGTTGATGGGGGGAGGGGGAGAGAAATGGGCCCGGAAGGGTGCCACTGAAACAAAGC